TGTTAACCTTTCAAAAATTTTAGTATGCTGTGTTGAAAATAAAGAAATCTGACTCCTTGGCCTTCCAAAGTTCTCAAAATTTTCGCCCTAAAATACCCTAATGTTCAACAATACATCAAATCCCTTTATCAAATCCATAAAGCCCTTTGTCCAACTAAACTTTTATTATAGTAAAGAGGTTGGTCACGTAGTTGGATCGTCCTTGTGTGAACTCCGCAAAGTATAGGATATAGGCAAGCGCTGGATATAGGGCAGTAGTATCTTCCGAATCGAACAGTCCTAAATTTCTTCACCATCCGTTGGAATAATGCAGCACATTAATAGAAGAGAAGATTCCACAATATCTCCCCCAACACTTATAATTTTAATCTCACGATATACCTCTTAATCCCCAAATTCACTGATATTCCTTTTTAGGGTACCGTTTTCGAGTCGGGCCGACGGTCGAGGCATTTTTTTTCGGGCTTGTTTTTATCGAGTCGGGCCGGTACGAGTCTTTTTCGGGCCTAACTTTATCGAGTCGGGCCGATACGAGTCTTTTTCGGGCCTAAATTTATCGAGTCGGGCCGGTACGAGTCACTTTCGGGCCTGACTTTATCGAGTCGGGCACTGAGACATTTTCGAGTCTTTTTTTAAAAGATTTATTTAAAAATAATTAGTGGATTTGGAGGGATATCTGTGAATTAAAAGGTATATCGATGGATCAGGAAGGTAAACGAAGGGCTGAAGAGAATTGAAATGGATATCAGTGGATTTGAGGGATTAAGGGGATTTAAATTATCGGAGGATTGGGGTGAGATATTGCTAGATTTGGTTTTATTAAAGGAGATCAGATGATTAAGGGGTTCAGGATCGTATATCAGATGATTAAGGTGATATATTGTAATGGGATTTAGAAGGAATGAGGAGATCGAGAATGAGGAGATCGAGTCGGGCCGTTACGAGTCTTTTTCGGGCCCAAATTTATCGAGTCGGGCCGGTACGAGACTTTTTCGGGCCAAACATCGAGGCATGACTCGATCTTTCGGTCCGAGTCGGTCCATTTTGGCAACCCTATTCCTTTTAATCACCCAACCCCCTTCTCACCTCTTTCGAGGTGGGGCTCTATTTTAGAGTGGGGCTCTAATTTAGCATGGGGTTTTATTTTAGAAAATACGGTAAACATTGTTATCTAATTTCGATTATTTTTTTTCTGCACAACTTTTTTCCGTTTTAAGTGAATTTCCTTCTAGTTTCTGAATTGTATTTTATTTTTAATTTCATTTTATGATATTCAAATTTAATTCTGGGTTTAGGTCTTTATATTAGAGAATTAAATTTTACCTACATATACTAGATGAAAAAATCAAATATTTTTATGTTCATTATTCTAATATCTATTATTTAAAAACAAGTTATTTGTGAGAATATTTCAGTAAACAAAAATAATGAAATTTTCTTTCTTTTTTACATTTTAAAACCTGATTTTATTTTAAATTTTTAATTAAAATGGCGAATTTAAAGTTTGATAACAATATAATTTAAATTTTGATTAATTAATGAATAATTTATTATAAATAAGGAAGAATAATTATTTTTAAGAGTTCATTAAACAAAAAAATTTTTCACTTAAAAATTAAAATTAAATAAATAAAATAAAATGAATTTTTTTTTGTTTCCATTTTTGTTAATTAATTTTTGTTATTTCACAAACGGTGAAAAGGATACGATTGAACAATGCAACACTGTGATGGTATTTCCATTAGCTGATAACTGCGCGTATGTTAATTTAATTAATTCTAAAATGTTTATTTTATGTTAAGCATTTTCCAATAAATTCAGCAAAGTACTAAGTCGGGTCATAATTAGTGTCGCTTTTTTTATTTGGATTTTTTTGATTTTTAAAATTAAGTTTTTAGAAAATATTTTTTATTTTTATTACGAATCATTTGTTAGAGTATGTATGTTCTAAAGGAACATAGTACTAAAAAATGTTCTAAAGGAACATACTTCCAAAGGAACATACGTTTATTTCATTTATGAAATGTGAGTACACGCAGCATTTGATTTGCCTTTCTTGAGCGCAGCCCGCGTTTTTTGAGTCACGCGTGGTCATACGTATAGAGCAGATATCCCTCTATAATTCAGCATTAGAAATTACCGGATTCCATCTAAGCCGGCCGAGCAGGACCGTTATTCTTAATGACAGCCGTCTCCCTCGACCATGTTTGCTTCTGAGAGTCATACGGCCTTCCTTGCAAAGTTTGAATCCTATTAATTGCTGTCTAGCAAAGACAACGATCCCATTGACTAGATCATTAAGATTTTTTGTTTCTTATGTTCCATTTTTGGTAATTTATAATTCATGGTGCAAATGCTTGAGAATTTCACTACGAGATAGCGAATTTCAAAAAATCATAACTTTATGAATATCACTCATATATACCTAAACCTGGTAATAAAATGAAGAGTAGATTCAGATCTTTATATTGGTTAATAAGAAAAAAGAATATACTTAAAACAACACCCCTAAAAATTTAATTGAATAAAAGCGACACTAATTATGTCTCGACCTAATAATTGCTAAAATAATTTTTAGTTTCCTCGCCCTTTAATTTTTAAAATCTCAGATCCGAGATTTTTATATTTTTCATACTTTCCATGTCTTTTTTAAAATTAACCTCACTAGATATTTTAAAGTCGGAACGTCCCACTTGTGTACCGCCGTTTGTGTACCGCCGTTTGTGTACGGCCGTTTGTGTACCGCCACTTGTGTACCTGGCCATTTGTGTACCGACCGTTTGTGTACCGCCGGTTGTGTACCCACCCAGAGGGGGACGTTTGTGTACCCGCATTATTTTTAGGATTAGGAGGGATTAAAGGGGATGTAATTTCATTTAGAATAATTAAGGGGGATAATAGAGAGATTCTGGTGTGATATTGAGTCAATCCAGAATTCAGGGGAACGAATTACAGACCCCTGAAAATCCAAAAAAGGGGTCAAATTCAATTTTGGGTAAAAATTTTTAAATATACAAATGATAGCTCATTCGAAAGGGATCGACGAGATGAGTTGAATAAGACCAAAATCAAGCTGATTGAATGATTCTGAACAAAGTTTTGACCAACAGAATCTTCGCTGGAAAAAATTTTTGTGCTGCTACGGAGGGTAGGGGAAACTATCTAAATTACGAACGTAAAAACTTTTTCCTAATTTCCGGACTCCGGCAGAATTTACCCGGATACGGGAGAAAATCAAAATGTGAAAAAAATAAAAAATAGTTTTTAAAAATTTTATCAAAAAAATTAAAAAAAACCAAAGTCACGCTTCAATTAGTGTGCCAAAGAAGGGCCTTTCTTTCGTTATTTGTTCTCCTAAGTTCACCACCTTCGTTCCTTCAGAAACTGTGAACTTGAAAATCGCCAGTCAGAAACTGACGAAAATCAACTAAAAAATTTTAAAAATAAAAACGAAAAACAAAATAAAAATTCCAAACCTTTTCAAATTTCCCATCGTTGCAGCCGTGGGATGAAGTCCGACACGTGATGAGCAAAGTTAGACCAACCTGAAATATAAAATCTAAAATTAAAAAATAAAAATTAAACTTTTACCTACACAAGATTCTCGTCCTCCTTGAGAAAGTTCACTGTTCGGATGCCCCTGCGTGGGTGGAGGGGTCAACTAATTAACAAAATTAGTTGAAAACCCCAAAAGAAAAACAAAATTATAAAAAAAACAATAAAAAATCTAAAAAACATGCGGGTACACAAACGTCCCCCTTTGGGTGGGTACACAACCGGCGGTACACAAACGGCCGGTACACAAATGGCCAGGTACACAAGTGGCGGTACACAAACGGCGGTACACAAGTGTCCCCTACCGTTTTAAAGTAATAACAATTTCTAGATGTTGGGCTGATGTTACTAAATGTTTGACTTCGTTAATACCTGACGGAAAGTGTGAAAAGGAGACTTATCCTGAGAATTTTATTGAAGATACGTGTGCTAAAATGCATTCAAAATGTTTATTGACGAAAAATAAATGTGAACTTGCTATCTGTGCATGCTTTTAGTAGGAATTTTATTTTTTAATTATAGAATACCGTATTCTATCTAATAAATGCCACCCTCCACACACACTTCTAGACCAATAGCGAGGTTTTCTAAAAATGTAATTGCAACAAGATCACATGAAATTACTTCCTATACTACTCCGGTATCCCCCCAAGATTCCTTATTTATCCTACGTAATTTTTGGATAAATTAAAATAGATTACCGTATTTTTTGTATTAGAGCCCCATGGGGCTCTATTTTTCAACTATCCTTCTAAGTGGGGCTTTATTACAGCGTGGGGCTCTAATAGAGCGTGGGGCTCTATTTTTCAACCATTATTTATTTAAAATTTTATCACAAAAACAAATAAATTTTGTTATCGCATGCAACAGTTTAAATCAAAATTGGGTATAGCTTATTAAATTTCAATTGAAAAATCGCTCTCATCATTATCATCTTCACTCAAGTCAATTTCTTCCACCAATTTTATAACTTCATCTTCATTACGACGTTGCTGTAACAATTCAAGTCCATTTGGAATCGCACCATCAGGCTAAAAAGTATTTTAAAAAATTTTATTTTAATTGAAACCTTAAAAACATGTATTTGATTGTCAAGTTTTCCACCATCTTCTTTTGTTACGCCACAAGAAATAAAAGATTTTTCAATAATGTCTTTCGAAAGAGAATCCCATGCATCAACTATCCACTGCAAATAAATATCCATTTGTGGAGCTTTAAGATTTCCTCCTGAAGTTGTTGGCTTGTCACCATGAACCATCCATTCTGAATAAAGATTCATAATTTTACTCTTGAAGGGAGCATTCCAAGATATGTCTGGGATCTAAAAAGAAAGTAACAAAATAGTATTAAGTGCAAAAAGACTTGGATATATTTTGTTGTTCCACCAGGTACTACCGCTGTGTGAATTGCAAGTCGTTTTAAAACAGATTTTGTATCAACAGAAATATGGCATCTGAATGAATCCCAAAGAAGTAAGCGAGAGCCAAAGTAAAAATTGCCAAAGATCTGAATTACAAATAAACAAAGTATATAAAAATAAAACCTTTTCTAAATACTCAGCGGTAAGTTCGTTATCCATCCAACTCTTTCCACACCATGACAACACTAATTTATTTTTAAAACGCTTTTCCAATTCAGGTACAGGCCTTTTTCGTGGAACCAAAACAAAGGGAACAAGCTTTACTCCATCAGAACGGGCTGTCAATAACACCGTCACTCTTGCCTTTTCATGTCCTGTATTCAATACAGTAACTGTTTTAGCCCCCTTTTCAGAAACACAAGTTCCCCCTGAAGGGTCTAACCACACACTAGTTTCATCCGCAGCATAGACATAAGTGTAACTAAAATTAATAATAAGACGATGATCTTAGGAAACTCACTTGTTTTCTTTCCAAATTCTCTGAACATATAAAATAAAATTAATTATGGTATCAACATAGGCCTCAGGCCTTTTCTGAGCCACAGTGGTTGGTCGGCGTAGAGAAAAGTTATGGCGACTCATAAAGGAATTGAGCCATCCGTTACTTGCCTATAACAATGATTTCAAAAAATAGATAAAATTATTAAAAACCTTAAAATCTATCAGTTTTGGAAAGTTCAACCTCAATCTTACAGCTTCAGAAACAATCATATTCCTTGTAACACGAAATTTTTGATTGCGCAAATTTATAATCCACTCAGCAAGAGTTTGGTCGAAATCTGTATCTATCAATTTTCTCCCTCCACCAGCAATTCGTTTTTGTTTTGTTGACTTATTCCTAAATAATAAATAAAATTTAAAAAAATAATAAAGTCTAAAAACATCACTTACATTTTTCGAAGATCTTGTTCTTGTTTTTTCCAGTCCCGTACTGAATTTCTATCAACGTTAAAATGTTTGCTTGCAGCAAGAATTGAAGTACGATGTGCAAACTCTAAAATTTCCAATTTTCTTTCTATTGAATACGCCCGTCGTTTTCTTTTAATTACAGCTTCAGGAATTTGCTCAGCTAATTCACAAACATCGACATTACTAGAACTAGAATTGCCATCTTCAGAATAATTTTCTTCCATTTCTTAATTAATTTATCATTAAATAAAAGAAAAAACAATATAACAAAAAATAATAATGTATTAAATACATATAGCAAAATGTAAAAAATGGGGCTTTATTACAGCGTGGGGCTCTAATACAGCGTGGGGCTCTATTTTTCAACTATACTCCAAAGTGGGGCTTTATTACAGCGTGGGGCTCTAATTCAACGTGGGGCTCTAATACAAAAAATACGGTAATATATATAAATATAAAAATTAAAGTACGTCTGGTGAATGTTTGGTACAAAAGAAATGTGGTGGACCTATAAAACCCAAGTTCATCATCAGATAAACGTTATTTTAATAAAATAAATTTTGATTCTTTTTATTTTTAAATTTGAATATATAGCCGTTCGAGCATCTGATAAAATTTCGGTTTTAACAATTTATTTTATGCACATTTCGAAATAATTGAATAGAGAAAATTCGAATAGATTTTTAAATAAAATCTTTAGATTAGTGAAGTTTTTAAAATAGGGATACCCGAACATCACTAGTACTGAACAACGTCAAAATTCCAGGCTCTGTAACTAACAATACCTAGTGGGCAAATAAATTTAAAGGTGTCCTCTAAAGAGCGTAACAATGATTGCATTAGCAAAATATGTATGTAGCTATGAACAGTGTTCATGCTTTCAAAAAATATGATAATCACACTCAAAACGCAACATAGTATCACAAATTTATTTCAGAATTAATAAAATTAAAAATTTAATTATGAACATTGAGTTAAAATCCAGTCATTATCCATATCTTCTTCAACAAAAGGCTTAAAACTTAGCCTCGAATTTCGTCATTGTAAATATGCTGATCTATAATACCTTTTATTCTTCATATAATTTTATGTTTTTAACACTTATCGAATCATAACATTGTGTATGGGCTTCAGCCCTTAAAGTGTTTACTATAAAAGACAACCAATAGAAAGTTCGGTCTCCCAGTCTTATTCCTCCTCCTACCCAAACCTTCATCTTCTTTGCATTTTCGTGTGTGATAAACTTCTGTTATCTTCCTCTACGTAAGCGGGGTCGTAACACATAACATTTTAATAAAGTACCAGACTTGATCCATCCAACTATAAAAAGAGTGCCGATCAAGTGCTTCCTGATGGTATAAGATTTACTAGTACTGGATTGAGGCTAAAAAAGCCATAGCTGATCAAATTGACCATCTTGGTTATATAACTATCATTAAAAAATAATTAATATTTAATTATTTGTTAAGCTTTTATTAAGACTGAGTATTTAAGTATTTGATTTGTTAGTGAACATTTGTATACCGGGGTGTTATTTTTTGGATGACTGCATATCAGCAGTCAATTAAACTTTCTTTAAAATTTTAGTTGTCGAGATATGCTAAGTATGCCAAGATAAGATAAGGTTGTTATTAGAAGCCGAGCCGTACTTTATAGGATAATATATAATATTATTGACTGCGGTTTGTCCGAGGTAAACAGACAAAGACTTTATCATAAACTAAATACAATAGTAACTTACAATAGGAATATGGCTAAAGCCTATGTGGAAGGCTCATTTTATTTGGATCAAGCTTAAAAAAGTTATAGTCGATCAAATTCGGAGAAGAAAACAAAATACGAAAATATAAACTCATAGTACCAATACAGTACATGATAACATCTGAGGACTAGAACCAATAAATGTTAGCTATGAACATTGTTCAAGCTTCCAAAAATACCTGAAGTACATTACAACGCCAGGATCGTCAAAATCGTTTAAGAGCTTCTGAATCTATAAAATTAAAAACGAAATAATAAATATTAAGTAACCAATAAATTATTAGAATGCGTACAATACAAACGATCAACACCTACACAGTAAGGTTGGCGGATAGTTGGAAATCTTCGGATATCCGGATCCGGTATCCGAACCGAAAATTTCGGATATCCGGATCCGGAACCGATATCCAAACCGAAAATTTCGGATATCCGGATCCCGAACCGAGATTTTTATTTTCAAAATTTTCGCCTGCGGCGCTGTAAAATTGAGTCCCAATAGATGATAGAGAGGTTAAGAGCTGGGGTTGGGAATTACGAGAGATATAGAGGCACTTATTGATTAATTTCCTAAATCCGCTCTAATCCCATCATTCTTGATTCCTCTATATGACATCCATATACATCAACCTTTCATTAAAGTTGTAAACCCGCATGTGATTTTGGTGTCCGGAAAATTGGGCTCTGGAAAATTGGGCTCCAAGATTTTTCGGAAAATTGGGCTCCAACTTTTCGGAAAATTGGGCTCCAACGGAAATTTGGGCTTTACGTGAAAAAAACGGAAAATTGGGCTCCAATTTTTTAGGCGCTGGGAATTGTGGGCGTCAGAGTGAATTTTTAGATTTATTCGAAAAATATATGGAATAACCATTTTTGGTAGTTACTTAGTGGGTAGGTCGGCATTTCAAAGCTGAAAATCAGTAAAAAGGAATAGGTTTATGTTACTGTTATAGAACCCAGCGACCGTTGACTCCCGCGAGACGCGTGCCGCAAAATCCCGCGCGAAGCGCGGGATTTTGCACAAGCGCCTCGCCGACGCCCATAGGTTTACGTTGTTTGATTTTGTGTCATTTTCTGTTGAAATCCAAAAATTCACTCTGACGCCCACAATTCCCCGCGCCTAAAAAATTGGAGCCCAATTTTCCGTTTTTTTCACGTAGAGCCCAAATTTCCGTTGGAGCCCAATTTTCCGAAAAGTTGGAGCCCAATTTTCCAAAAAATCTTAGAGCCCAATTTTCCAGAGCCCAATTTTCCGGCACTCGTGATTTTTACAAATACAACTCTTTCCCTTTTAGCGCCGCAGGCGGAAATTTTGTTAATTGTGATAAGCCAAGGCACCAGATTTTTTCCCCTTTCTGCGCCGCAGGCGAAAATTTTCTGAATTTTGGAAGTCAAGAAGCCAGATTTCTTCCATTTTTAGCGCCGCAGGCGAAAATTTTGAAATTTTGGGAGGCTCTTAAGACAAAAATCTTTAATTTTCAGCGCCGCAGGCAAAAATTTTGGGAAGTTTGAAAGATCAATGGACTAGATTTCTTCCATTTTTCCCTAATTCTAAGATCCGAACTGAAGATTTCGGATATCCGGATCCGATATCCGAACCGAAAATTTCGGATATCCGGATCCGGATCCGATATCCGAACCGAAAATTTCGGATATCCGGATCCGGATCCGGTATCCGAACCGAAAATTTCCGGATATCCGGACTTTTTTCGGATCCGGATATCCGGATCCGCCAACCTTACTACACAGAGAGGATACTAATCTAGAAATAAAATGGCATTTAAGAATGTTATGATTGTTGACATTGGGCACATTTATCCTAGTTAAACATGTTTTATTTCCAATCTGCTTTTATCTGGTCAAATTTGTGTTACAAACAGAGGTGTCCAAGATTTAACTAATATTAACGTGCAAAAGAATAACAGTTTATCCGGTATAGAAATAAACAATGTAGGCGAAGGTGAAAGGGTTGGAACAGACGAAGGGAATCAGGGACTAGCCTCGCTAGTATGATTCAACTAGACTGATGCTTTCATGGCTTTTATACTATAGCCATACTACTACACAACAATTTGCACGACTAATTAATAGATCTAAGGATTCTCCTCCTTGAAACAAAATTGATATTTTAAAATATACATTAATTGAAATAATTATTTATATAATATACATAAACCTTAGTTCAAACAGAGAACGAGTTTCGCTTTAATTTATACTTGTTTTAATTTTTTTGATGCCTAACAACGCTTAGGCAATAAAAAACCTCGACCTCGAACAACTCTAGTTCGATGGGCTCGGCAAGCTGAATCAAACAATACAAGGGCATCCCGATTCGACAATTTTGAACGAACTTGTCGGTATAATGGGCTCGCGGTATACATATTTGGGTGACTCTATTCATTGCTACAAAAAATAATATAATGAAGAGAGACAAAATTTCCTCTCTTCTTGTTATCTTTATGTTGGAAGAACGATTTTATGTGAACGTTGCATAAATATTATTTAATTAAATTTATGTTTTGATAAATACTCAAATATTTTTTTGCTTTGATCCTTTCTCCTCGAATCGTTTGGTGTAATTTTTAGGAAGCCTGAACAACGTTCATTGCTAATTAATCAAAAAATCATTCGATCATTATTCAGGAGCCTCTCTACTTTGAGAACTCCTCCAGCTTTCTGTAATCCAGGCTTTTCTACAATTTTTTACACAATATTTATATTTAATAATTCGGTTTTACTAATTCACTCAATTTAACAAAACGAGCGTTTTG